TCTCTAGTTTCCTTTTTTGTCCTTTTTTTCAATGAAGTAATAAAGTGAAATACTTTAAACCAGTTTCAACACTTGGAGCAATTAATTAAATATAAATTAGTACCTGGCTGCCTGAACACAATGAGAAAACCATCCTTGCATTCACAAAGAGAACAGTACAGTGAAAATAAGAGAGAGTGGAAATCGCTCATTACATGCCCTTCATAAGTATGGATGAAAGTCTCATTTTGATGAAAATGATTTCATGCGCAATCCTGAAGAGAGTCTCTGTCTGATAAATCCATTCTATTCATCAATTCCACACACCGCCTGACCAGCCTCTGATACAACATTGACTGCTCACTCTACTGAACGCATGTGACAGGGATGTCTTGGTACAACAAGGGATTGTATCTTAATTTAATGGACTTTCTTATTTGATTTTTTTATCGGTGGTTGTTCAGTCAGTACTTCGATTAGACAACACAGACAACAGTAGGTTCTCTGGATGAGCACAGAAAGCATTGCCTTGGGCTCATCAGTACAAAAGTGATGATTGATGGTGAAGCAAGCCGAGATGGTATATGCGAAGCAATTAAGTCAATTTTTGTCTGTTTTTTAAGTCTAAGAAAAGTCACAAGTCATTTGATCACAGGTCAAGTCAAGTCAAGTCGCAAGTAAATTTGGTCCAAACACAAGTAAGTCACAAGTCTTTTTGGCCAAGTACAAGTCAAGTCGCACGATGTGTGATTTCAAGCCACAGCCAAGTGGTTCCGACGTGGCCTTGGGCAGACAAGACCGAAGTAGAAGTCGTGAGCCGAACGAATTCTTTAAGGTCTGTTCAAACTTCGTGCAAAAGCGAAAACAAACCCTGTTTGTGACGTCCGATCAAATGTTTGCGTTGCGAATTCGTAAAGTTGAACTCATTTCAACTCTAGCAAAATTTCGTTGCAGATTTCCTGTGACATCAAATTCGTTTCGTTTTTCATTCGCATTAGGTATTAAGGTTTGTGTTCTCAAAACTGACCTGTTCCATTAATTGCTCTTAATTGTTGTTTCTTGTGAAGCGCATCGAGACTTCGGTGTGATGCGCTATATAAAAACTGTGTTATTATTATCATTATTATTTTGCAAGATGTATGAACCGGTCTTTAAGCTTATTATTTTAAGAATGCAAGGCTGACTTGAGTTTAACAAGCGCAAGTCCAAGTCAAGTCACAAGTCATTTTGTCCAACTCTAGTCATGAGTCACAAAAATAGCGACTCGAGTCCAAGTCAACTGACCCGAGTCTACAACTCTGGAAGTAACTCGTCGGAGTGCGCAGTTGGAATGCTTGCTTCTCACATTGAAGCATAATATTCTCTGAGCGAATAGGACAAAGGGCCAGGCTCCAAGAGTAAAAGATCATCTTCCATGTTTTCAGCGATGATTACTGTATGCAGTTATACAGAAAATATTGATCCCAACTAAGATTTCCACGATTTCACCAGGGAGAAACATTCCCCAAAATGAGTAAAATACATTGTATACAATCTAACAAAAATGGAATAAAGTGCTATTCACCAGGACTCTGCGCTTTTAAAGATAAATTTCTATTCATATTTATGTTGGGCCTCCGATCTTTTATGTGGTATACAGGACAAAAGTATTACCAGAACATCAACCTATCCCGTTCAGAACTTTATTCAGAACCTCAAATTGGAACTTTAGGGAAATGCACTACACCCTACTCATTACACATTTTTACGGGTTGTGTTATAAAAATAAACTGCATTGTATAAACCCTTTAGTTCCAAACAACGTGAATATATTTTGAATTCAGACCTTACTGAGCTTGTGGGTGGCAAACACACTCATCCTTTTCCTTTTTGGGGGTGTACAAGTTTCTTTTTGTTTGCTCCATTTGGAGCATACAACATTGATTTCAAACGTGATACAAACAATTGGAAAGGACCTGAATATTTGCTGTTTCCAAGTGCCTCAAAAGTCATTAAATACCACAGGAACTTTCGTATTTCAAGAAATAGCTGTCAAAGAATAGAGGGATATTGCACTTCACGTTTTTTCAATGGTTCCTTGCCATGCTAAAGGAACCATTACCGAGTACCATCTGCCAGGGTTCTATTACACAGCTTCTCTCAGGGTAGTTCTAGCCGACTAGTTTTCTGGTTATTGTGGAATACATCATTGTCGTCTCATCATCATTATGGTGATCATTTGTCTTGATCAGGAAAAAATGGCATAAAAAATAACATGCACTCGTGAGTCATTCAAGTATTATCTCAATGTGGACTTAAATGAAAATTTGCAGTTGGGTAGCAATGCGAATATTTTCGGTTCTTACAATAAAAAAATTGACAAGTAAAATTTTAAGGGCAAAAAATAAAATTGTCTGTAACTGTAGATTTGTATGTCTTCACATTTGAGCAGAACTGGGCAAATCACCTCAGCGGGCAACAATGCTGACCTCACGTCAATATTAAAGAGCATATTTTATTCTTTAAAATAAATTGGTAAAATGTTTTAGCTGTCCATTGCTTTGGCAAATACTAATATTAGCAGTTAAGAAGATATTACTTTGTACACCAACTAGTGAAGAAAATGAACTGATGAAGGGGGTGCTTCTGCTCAAGGCGGATTATGTGCAAAGCGAAGAAGTAGATAGGCCTATTGGCCATTTTCAAAAATCTGAAAGTCGCAAATGACACTTCGGCTTGCTGTCTTACCATCTTATAGGCCTGTTGCCCATCACTACAGCCCCAGTCATCGTTGCTACTTTCAGGTACAAACTAACAGCAAAGTACGTCACCTGGATAAAACATAAAATAAATAGTTAAGTTTTAAAATCATCACCACCTTTAGACTGTTCGGAAGGATATGATCTGTGATTTCCCACACCCATCGCTAGCGAGCAGATTTCACGAAGCGCTAACAAGCCATAAGACGGTCTTAAGAAGGGCAATTCTTCCTGATTTGTCCTAGGGTAAAATTCACCAAACTTAAGACGCATTCAGCTCGTGCTAACTTCCTTAGCAATGCTGCCGAAATCAACTTAAGATCCGTCCAAGGGTCGTCTTTATATCTGCACGAACACGTGCATTTTAGTTAAAGCAACAACATGGCGCTTATGCTTCTTGCTGATTGCGAAGCTCGGCAGGCCATTAGGCGAGAGAGGATATTCCGAGATAGGAGAAATCTACTAGACAGTCTAAAGATGAGGAAATCTTCAGGATATAGGCTCACAAGACAAGGGGTATTGCAGGTTCTACAAAGAGGTTGAAAATGAATCGGAGCCCGACAACTGAATGGGTAAGCTATAGTAATCACCATTCAATGAAGACCTTTAGACTAGACTCTGGCTTAATTTTTGTGGAAATTGAGCAGAAATTCACAGGCAAAAACGTCTTCAGGCCAGAGAGTAAGGTCTGAATAAAAGTTGATGTTATAGGTAAAATACTGTCATGGTTTTTCAAATATCGCGGTTAAACCCATGAATGGGTGGTTCTTGTGGGGCTGCAATAATGAACATACGGATAATGAAATTGCACAAGATGGTACATGGTTCGTAGATCAACAGAGGTCCCTAAACAGGCATATAGAGACAACAGCCAACGGGTGAGTAATGGATATCCAAATAACAGTGACATTTTACAACTTAAACTTATTTTTGCACATTAACAACGTGGTAACAAATATTGTAATGATACTGATGGAAAATATCCCTTTGTCATTTTTTTTAGATCCTGTTCACAACTGCACAATGTAATGGAAGTAATTCTTTGCATATTTCTGAAAGACACAAGTTGATCTACATGTACACAAGTTTCAAACAGGACGTGAAGATTTATTACACCAACTTCACGGAGCTTCTGTGGTTTACTTTGACCAATATCATTCATCAGAACTCCCATTTTTCATTGGGGATTTAATATGGGAAGGGGTGTTAATAATAGCCTGGAGCAAGGCATATTCTAACGGATACAAAAGCAACAGTATCCTTTGAGAAATTTTCAACAAAATCATGTTAAGAAACAAATAATAAAACTTTGGAGAGGGCAGGCAACATGGCAGTCTTTCTTTTGAACAGTTAAATCCTCATACAGTTTCGAGTCTTTTAACACTGAAATTACTTCGTTTCGTAAGACTGCACGCCCTGACTCAAAATGGAGCCGATACGAAACTTTAAGCTGGGACTCGTTTTAAGTCCTAAGATGAGTTGCAAGATAAGATGTCTTTCGTGAAATTGGCTGTCCCGGCAGCTGCAGATATTGGTTTGTCTCAGGCTGTAAACTGCGTGCTGACTGCAATCTTATCAACCTCCCATTCGTGTACTTTTTGTGCCGGTCTCGACGGAGAGAATACACTTGACATTGATGCCGGTAAGTCGCGCGCAAAGCGGCCAATATCCTGCACCTCCGTGATTACACAGACTTTCAGTAATGACAAGGGCAATGTGATGCGAGGTAGACATGAATTAAGGAAGCAAAGTCGAACCTTTTATTTCAAATGCCGCCCTTTTCGACTTAATTGAAACGACAGTTAATAGTTGATACGGTTTAATGAGTAAACCCAGTCAATATCAGTCGCTTGTCACCCGCGAAGAAGAGGAGCGGCTTCAAGCTCCATCGTGACAATAATTGCAGGGATTATGTGGGCTACAGGTTCACATGTTCGGAGATAGCTAACACCGTCTGTGATGATTCCATCTGTTATTGCTGCAGACAGCAGGATTGAAAAGAATGGCTGCATTTTCTGGACATATCCTAAACAGTTGTCCAGTTTCTCCCCTGGGTGTAACTCCTATCTATACCACTAACCAACGGGGCAAGCACGATAAACCCAGATAGCCTACGCATTGAAGGCGCGGGCTCTTGTTCGTATCCAGCCCGTGAGGCGTCCGTACAAACAGCCAAGCCCACTTTTAACACTGCTGCCGAGGTTGAACATGCCGAAGGCAAGAACTCAAGAGAACGATGCTGCTTTAAATTTCGATCTGATTTTTTAAACTAATATTACCAAGATGGAAGTGAGCTGGCTTAGACGTGCACCGGGAATTACTTCAAGCTGTTTAGCTATCCTGCTCGGAATACCAGGAAATCTCCTGGTTGTCTGCGTGTACCGGTGCAAGTCCACCAGAACCAGCACCCACGTTCTGATATGCGCCCTCGCTGCAGCGGACCTCTTGGCAAGCCTCCTCATCGTTTTCAACCCTCTTTTCCAAAGGCCTCAATATTTACATGAGTACAGTGTTGTCACGAAAATCCACATTGCTCTTATCGACACCCTACAGCTCGCAGGGGCATTTCTCCTGACAGGCATCGCATTCGACCGGTATGACGCGATTTGCCGTCCTCACAGGCGACTGTTGTCCATTCGTCGGGCCAGGGCCCTCGTCGGTGGGTGTGTTGGGTTGTGGGGAGTGCTGACCATCATAACTCTGGTTCTCGTGACGCCTAACTCTTCCCCTGGCGACAGACGAGCATGTAGTGCCAGGTTGCTGGTGGTTATTTCCTTGCCCAGCACGTTATGGCTTTGCTGCTTTGTTACTGTCGTCTCACTCTACGCAATGGTATACAAGACAGTCCAGAAACAAGGGAAAGTCGGAGCGTCTGTCGTGGATCAGCCTCGCATCCCCAACGCAATGACAGATGAAGCTAAGGGTGACTCGGACGCCAGACACTTTGGCTTGACAGCAAACTCTGACGCCATCCCATCATCTTCTTTGGCCGGAAGTCAGCGCAATTGTCCAGGCAAATCACTGGCAATACAAAATAGCCGACAACCGACTGAAATACATATCATTTCTGGTAGCAGCGATGTCGCTTCAAGGCCATCGGGGTCGGTTCGATGTACGACCTATCATGGACGCACTAGTTCCGTCGAAAGGGACACAGGATTCTCCGCCAGAGAAGAACACGAAACGAAACCTGTTCAACATGCCGCGTCGTCGCACCGGCTTGGCGGCGGCACGCAATTCTCACATCACCGTCACCAACTCAAAGACGAAACACTTGAAAAACCACACACTGTAAGAAATTCCAGGTCCGCATATCATGATGTCCAGCATCCGATACCAGCGAACCCGGCCGGTAGCTTTGCCGAGCCATTCAGCGTTACAGGCAAACTGCCCAATGCAGACACAAAAAAGGGCAACAGACAACAGGCAGCCGGCAAAAGTAATGGGACTCTCAGGAGAAATTGTGGTCACAGGACCAAGATGAAAACCACATTAATGTTAATCGTATCGGCTGCTGTATTTTTCATCACCTGGTTTCCCGCCATATGTGCTGGAGTATGGCTGAACGTGATGAACTGTAGAGGCACGCCCGTCCCGTACGGGAGTGCTATTGTGGCAGATGTATTAATGTCGTTCGTTATGGCTAACAATTCTGCTAACCCATTCATCTACAGCCTGGTCAACGGCAACTTCAGGAAAAGTTGCCTTGAGATACTACGCAAGACTAGAGCCAAAATATGTCGCTGCTTCTGCAGAAGAGTAATATGACCAGAAAGGATTGCGGATAGGGGGGTCTTCAACCACTGTGCTAATCAAAATGCACGGTTTTACGTGAATGAGAAGTTTGAGCAGCGACAGTTCGGCTATCACAGGTCGACTTGCCTGATAACCTTAACATGTGTGAACAATATAACAATGGGTACCAGCGAAGATCAACAATTACTTGTCAATGGTTGTGCTCGAATTTACAGAAGCTCTCTAGCTTCAGTTTTACACGTACTTTCCAACGTTGAGGGCTCTTAGTTTTACGAACATCATAAATTCTGAATAAACATTTTGTTTTTAAATTAAGCTTGAAAAAGTACCAGTAATTCAGTATAAATTACCCATTAAGGCTACCCAGTAAGGCTAAAACAAGCTTGCGCTTATAGTTTTAAATTTCATAATATAAGTTTTACTGCTCATTAAAATTCCAAATATGACTACGCACACAAAATTAACGAGGCACATACAGTACGTGCGTTCGTAAAATTATACAGACACAGTGCCAATTTCATGCACAATCAACCTTGAAACATGTTTATACCCAGCTTTCAGTTTGGTCTATTTTCAGAAAGGGAATAAAAGTGTGACGGTGGGAGGGTTAGACTAGTCTGGTACGTTTCAAACCTGCTTGGGGACGATAATGGACCGAGCCCGGCAAATAATGATAAAAATGCGAAATAGGCGACGTTTTTATTTCCCTTCCTTGAAGGTGCGTGTCCAAAGCCCCAAAATGTAGCCTCACTCTATTAAGACATAATTATGGACTCACTGGTTGTGGTACACATGCCTACTTGACAATGATTGCTATGTGTGAGGATTAGAATCCATAATGTAGGTCAGAATTTCATACAAAACCCACTGCAAATCGTTTAAGCAATGTATCATTATCCCTTCAAATTGATGCTTAATGTACATTTTTAAACCAGCCTTGGAATCATTGTGCAGCTTAAATCACGTTATAAATTTACTCTACAGCAGTTTCTTGGACTTAAAGGATCCAGGAATTGAATTTTTCTTAGAATCACCTTTTGTGTATCTATGTACTTTAAAGATTGTTTGACATCTTTTCCGAGTTACGTGAACTGAACAGTGCACTTTTTCAAACATTAAAAATTGACCAAGCATTTCTGGATAAGTGAGGGCGCTTTTTCTTTGATGTAAATCCAGGAAGACATGGTTCAGGTTGTATGTTTTCATGTTCAAATTGTGAACCCAAAATTTGCTATCTGGGAACTTTTCTGTGAAAAGGATTTTTGCTGGATTATTGCCATATACTTACACAGCAATAAATTGCCAAAGAAATGAAATCTGCCATAGCAATGGTTAAAAAAATCCAGAAATTTTTTTGTGCACAAATCAGTTCAACATTGAGATTCAGTGCCTTTGATGACATCACAGTTCTGGTCATGAATATGCAAATATACATTAGTATGAAAACCAAACAAGCATCAAAATATAGATTAAAATTGCAAAACAAAAATTTAAAATAGGTTAATTGAAACCCAAAGATTCAATTTCAAGGGTTTTTAGTAAAAATTATAAACTATTTCTATTTCCTGGTTCCTTTAATATCCCCCTTGTACTTTTATCCATATAGGCCTACATAACCATACACTGCGTTCATACACTGAAGTGATAGTTCAACCGCAGAGGCTTACTTCATAAACCGACTATAGAGCTATTTGACAATAATAATTTGAAGCCATTACTGCGGTGGTAAAACGCTCATAGACAGGGGGAACGCGTGCGTTGCATGCCTCTCTGACCGATAGGGTGTCGTGATTTGCCAAATGCACGCGTACGTCAAACTGAAGAATGTGCATTTGCGTGCCGTATCACCGCAGTTATGGTGTCTAACTGGATTAGTCTATAGGTAAAACAATTCCATAAGCAAAAGGAGACAAGAACTTTGCTTCCTATAGCCAAACACGAGATACCAGCCAAAATGTCTGTCTTGCAACTGGTTATTAGTCGATTGCAACACCCCTCGAAACTGTGAACGATCAATTTCTCTTGAACAGCCTTGTATATTGGGAAGCGTATAAAGGCCACTTGCAAAACTTTTTTTCGAGATACCATCTCGTCGCGGCGAGCTATTATCTCGCCGCGGTGACTTACTATCTCGACATGGCGAGATAGTAACATGAAGACATGGTGAAAAACAATTGAGGTGGATTGCGAAGAGTTTTTCGGACTTTCCAATAACCACAATGTAATCAATAGCACTCAAAATGGGAGACCAATTTGTAACATCCATAAACACGCCAGTCTGATGTACGTTCTACATTAGTTAATGTGTATTACAGATGTATAATGCTACATTTGTATCATGAACATCGCCCCCTGGCGTCGCATGGTGTAGGCCCGCTTTTCAAATTTCCATGGCCGGAGAGATCCTCCCCCCACAATCCCCACCCCTCCCCACACAAATTGACGCCACTGCTTGTGAAGGGTTCCACAACAGTAACACAATAGGAGTAAAGGAAAGACAGGAAGTGCGACGACGACAACGACAGCGTTTACAATGTTTGTCATTCTCACGGTCTTTGTTTCACCAACACCATTGATTATACACTTGGCATGGTAATATCAATGTTAACCATTAAGAATTGCGGGTATTTTTTATTCTCAACATCTGCTTGCGCCATTATGGAAATCAATTCAAGCGAGCATTTTTAACATTTAAATTACTCAGTATTGAGCATACTTATAATAATTTCTTGCATACTAATAACGTAGAATTTCCATCTTTATTCGGAAAGAGAGCAATAAAATTCTTTATCAAGGATAAGACGCAATGTGGATTAGAACAGATGTTTCTTCCTGTATTAAGAAGATTAAAAAAATTGCTCAAGAATAATTCATTCTGGTCAGTTTTCGTAATGACAAATTTAAAATTGAAATTAAACTTTCGAATAATGCGAGGGTCGAAAGATAGCCAGGAATTTCATTCCTTGCCGAGCTTTTAGTTCTCATATGCCATCGTGTTGTCAATCAACCAAAAATCTCGCTCAAAAAAAATAATGATTTGAAATACAGCATGCGCTTGATATACTGGAGACAATAGGGCCACGAGCTTTAGCTATGATGATGCCAAATTGGCAAGCTTTTACAATAAGGCGCCCACAAGTCGTTTTCCCCGTGCAGATACAAGGGTAGTAATAGGTTTTGTGAGGGGATGCTCGAATTTTTGGCAACTTATTCCTCATCCATACCATTGTGATACTATGCATCCATGCACTAGGTGCAGTGAGCTCGCCGATACGAATGGCAGCCCTGTGTAAGACCCCATAGTTCATAATTATCTGCCCGATGGGGTTTTGAGGAATCGACTAGTCTCAGTACCGTCGCTCGTTCCCAATGCTCTAAGAGAGCGGAGTTTAACTGTATGACAACTTATGTAAAGCACATACGAGACAGAGTTCTTTTGGACAACATCCCGGGCGCATGACGCAATATAATTATGTATACATGTGCTTTGATTAAAACAGAAAGTACCGCAACATACAATGCTTTGTTTGTCGGCAGCTATGACGTATTTTCTTCACGAGATTTTGAGAAAGGCTTTTCCCCTCTACCGAGACAAGTGATACTCGGCACCTCTAGTGCAGGACTGTGACATCGATTTGACGTGCAAAAATGAGCCCGGTATATAACATCGTGTCACCGTGTTCACTAAGTGGCGAAGCGCATCGTGCCTAGCTATGGTAGAGCGCCTAATTCCAGCATAGCACAAGTGACGTTGGTCACAAAAGAACTCTGAAGCTTTCTCTCTCTCTTTGCTTTACAAATACGATGAGGAAAGGTCGTGTTATCTATATTCATTATTTTGGTACGTTTGGGGCAGGCAAGGACGCAACATACCCCTCAGGTATACGCACTAGAAACTGAGCTGAACTATAGCAATGAACTATTATGAATACAATTTACACAGTACGGCAGAGAAACAGGAAACTTCTAAGCTAGTCTAGTCCGGGAAAATTTCAACAAGTGTATGCAACAAACACAATCGCGAATATTTCGCAGTGACGTCACAAGTTGTCTGTTCGTGTTCCTTATCGTGCCGAGTGTGAACGGATTTTAAAACGGAAATACACGTACATGCATGTACATGCAACAATACTGTTCACATAAGTTCCCCTCGAAACCTCAAAAGAAGTAAGCCAGAAATAAAGAACCCAGGGCGTTGGGCCTGTACCCCCCCCCCATTGAAAGATACCACTGAATCTTGCACCAGTTGGCATGAAACGGCAACGGACAAAATGTAGGGATTGTTGTAACAATCGTTTCAAGCAAAGATTATGTATCAAAGGACTTTGAATCCTCGAACCGAGGAGGAACAGTGCATAAGTGGAGAGAAGTTCTGTTCGCAACGGCAGAAAATATTCTGCTGGTGACCTTGACATAGACAACAGTAGCTCTACTGTTGGATTTTTCTCCACCACGATGAACAGAATGATTACTTTTCAGGGATTAAGTCTCATCGTGATCTTGTGATCTTTCAGGCCGCAATGGATTGCAATGGATTGTGATGCGCACGCCCAAAGAAATACGCAGTGTGCGTTGTTTCACAGGGCTGAGGTTTGAGATTTGACTGAGTCGCTGTCGGTCTCACAATATCGTCCACTTACTAGCCCAGGTTGTGAAATGTGTGCTTTACAACCGTATCAGTCAAAACGCTTGCATGGTGTTCAGCCGTTTTTACAGACGAATGCACCATAGCCATACATGTTGCCTGAACTCGGCTGCAATTCGCAAGTCGCACGTTATCATGTCTTACTTTCGAGGTCAGATACAGCTCCACTTTTTTCCCGGTTTCTGCCAGCCCAGTTGAGTAAACTGAGACATAAGTTGTTTTCTTCATGTCTTCGCGCATGGGTAATACCGCAATGTTGTAAGCGATCAGTTTTCAGCTAAAATACCTTAAATCTGATCACTTATAAATATGCACTGCATAATTATTAGTGGACGAATTCAGGGGGCTAACGAGGGCCATCTTCCTAGAGCTCTCTCCCTACACAAACAAAAGAAAACAAATCTTGCACGCATCATGCACATCTCGTGGCATAGGTTGTCATCACGTTTTTTGGGAAAGGAACTGTTAAGGTTTCCTTACTGTGTCCTCCTTGTCGGCTTTTTAATTAAAGAAAATCACCAACTTTTCAAATGGAACCAATACCAATACAATCTCAATTATAAATCAATTTTGCTCATTAAAATTAAAGCCATAAGTGAAAGGCCCCGACGTAAAGATGGACAAGTCCGTCCAGTACCAGTCGTTTCTTGATTGGCTACAACGATTTATCTAATAACTGACGTATTTTATTATCAATCTAGTGCGACTCGGTTTCCCCAATGGCTGCGTGGCTTCATAGGTTATTTGAAATGCACGTGAAGCCGCCGACCATCTGTTAACAGGGTTCATATACCGACGCAAGGTGGGATCATCCCGCATTCCTTGAAAAGGAACACCGAGTTTCGTAACAACTGAACAACTCACATCGCGCAGCGAACGGACGGCCGACGCGAGTACTCCGAGCCATTTAAAAAGACGATCCTGAACGCCAGTCCACACAAGAGCTGGCGAAATCTGGTGGACTTTGAAAACGCGGGCTGAATGGGACAACCTTGGGGCCAATGTGAGTCGAACTCAACTCGAAAAGCTCATCTGCCCCTGTTTTATTACTGTTGTTCACCGACTGGTTTTCGTACAACCCATCAACAAACTGAATCGTTCCAATTTTTGCCAACATCAGCCGTTTCTGCGATTTTCTGTTCAGCCATGTCGACAACCGACCAGGTTATCCATAGCGCAGACCGGGGCCCCCCATCCCTGATAGCGGGTCTGACACACCGCCCAATGTCACTGTCAGTCCTGAGTCTACCCCCACCACGCCCACCACCATTGCCCCATACAGCAAACCCCTCCCCCAGGTACTACTGCTGCAATCCCGGCACTGGCATGCCCATCTTCTGCGGCATCCGGAAGAGCCTGCAGGAGATCTTGAGCTCCAAGCACACGTCGTCCATGTACAGCCTGGTGCCTATGATGTACTCCCAGGCAGAGCTATTCTACAGTCCCAGGTGCAAGAGAAACGACGGCGTAAACGACGCGGGGGAATCGGCCGCGATGCCCGGCGGCGGGATCACCTCGGCGTGGAAGGGGCTCAAGATCGAAGTAGCGCCAAACCCGAAAGCTCATCTTCATTTCAACGTAAGTTTCTTAATTTACAAACACTGGGGAATCTCTCTTTTGTGAAACTGCGAAAAAAGACCAACTATGAAGAAGCGGCCCAATTGTCTTTGCTGTTTAGGTGTTGTGAATCTTGAAGTTATTCAGTTTTATCGATGAAAGGATCATAATATCGTCAGGGGGGACGCTGAAGAAAAGGTATAGGCTTAAACATTTGTTTCACCATGAACATTCTCTTAAATGCCTCACCCCCTTAAAATGCTCTCACAACGCCAAGTTGCCGTAAATGTTCCTGGTGTAGGGAGGTTTTTCCATGAGGTTTAACCGATTAAGTGAAATTAGCAATCCACTGAAATGCCCCAAGCAACTCCCCATGTTGATGAGCGATCCGTGAAAATCAAGTGAAGCGTTAGCCTTTCGTCAAGGCCTTCGCGGCTGTGTTTATGTGTAACTAAAAAGCGGCTAGACCGGAGACCACATGCACGAGTGGCGCAGCCACGAGGCCTTTTCCCATTTGTTAGGAATTTCTTATGTTCTTTTATATTTTTGATTTTATTTTTTTATTTTTGTTATAACTTTTTTTTATTTTTGTTACATTTTTGCTACAACGTTGGGGTAGCATAAATCCCAACCAATCATACGCGAGGGGGTCAGCACACATTAACCTACTATGCAAATTGAAAGTATACAAAAGATGGCGATCGTGTCAAGTGTGTTGGCGGCCGTGAATGCAGGTCAGTTGTCTGAGCATTATTTGGACAGTTCTTTAGAATATGCTGCTTGAAAACTTCACTTTGCCTAGTTTAAACCGTTGCAGCGTTAGGCTATTGAAGCGTTTGTACGCGGGCGTGACGTTTTCGTCTCTACCCACGGGATATGAGCTCCATATTTCAAGCACTGCCGTTTTGCTTTGACCATTCGGCCTTGATAAACTGCTAGTGTTACTCCAACGTCAGAACCATCCCCCACCAACAAGCATCATAGTTTTCATCTCACTAAAACCAGATGGAAACTTTGCGTAAGCTTTGGAGTTGATGCCGTTTGTTTCGGAGACTCATCTGCTTAAACTATTTACATGAAATTTATGAATAATGCATATCAGAAAGCTTATGAATAATTCACCACAAAAACCTCAAAATCAAGTTGGAAAAGGCCTCGTGGTTGTGCCACTCGCCTAGTCTCCTGTCCAGTCGCTTTGCAGTTACACACACACACAACCACGAAGGCCTTGACGAAAGGCTAGTGAAGCGTGCGTCAAGGTTCCCTATGAGAGTGTGTATAATCCGTGAATACCTTGGGATTCTATAATCCCACGCGGTCTACCCATTATCGGACGATTGTTAATGGTTACAGGAGTAAGAAAGTCCCTAGCAAGATTAGTCCTGTAAACATTTTCTAAAGGTCCGTGAAAAAAGGCCTTGAGGATTAATTTCACAGCAAACCGGTACGGTAAAGGATTTGTAAGTTATGACCTGTTGTGTGATTCCGCAGATAACCGGCTTCAGGATTTGACTTTCTGTTCCTACGACTGGAGACAGGCAAGCAAAAAGATACGTTAACACGGGCTTTTTACTGTAATGTAATCACTACCTGTATTGTGTGAACATAACTTTTCCAAGGCCCACACACTTTAGGAAAAGCATGCTTACACACAAAAAATACACACCCATACCACATATTCTCCAGCGCTTAAGAAAACCTCAAGATATGCTCCTTTTTGTCCCACTATAACAATTCTTCCGAGTTGGATTTTTGGTATCTATTTAAAGAACTGTTCCTCTTCGTTTTGCCGGACCACAAAACACCCCTGAAGCTTTTTTTTCTCGAGAGGAAAAACGTACAGTGTGGAGTTGTGCGAGTCCTAACCAGTGACGTATAGGATTTTACTAGCGGGGAGGGAACAAAGGGGGCACCAGCATCTTATGGGGGGGCACCAGCTTTCGGTGGTGTGGTTTTTTGGGGCAAGTGTTTGTTAGCCTTGTTCAATATCCACTCATCCAGTTTTTTTAGTGGAGGAACCTCGTTCTCATGGGTACGATCCAGAGTTGCTGACTCAAGTCATGTGACTTGGACTCGAGTCGCCATTTTTGTGACTTGTGAATACCAGCTTTGACTTGTGAGTTGACTTGGAATTGCAGACAATGACTTGTAACTTGACGTGGACTTGCAAAAAATGACTGACCCAAGTCAGACCCTACTTGACCAGCCCCATATATTTTTATAACTCGTAACTTCGTAAGTTGACGCCTGGTTCTTTTTGCTGGTTACAGCTGGACAAAATAACGTGTAGCTTGACTTGAACTTGGACAAAGGGACTTGTGACTTGACTTGTGTTAGACCAAATGACTTGTGACTTGACTTGGACTTGCAAAAAAATGACTAGCTGCCACTCTGGTACGATCTTGCCGCGCCATGTTGGTTCCCACCATGCCTTGCGCGAAGGAACGCACACGCAACAGGGACGTATATATAAAAAAAATCTGGACTCGCAATGCCCTTAATAAGTTTATAGAGATCATTGAATCCGCTAGCGGCCATTTTACCGAGCCGAATACAAAGCTTGACCGGCAATGCCCGCCTTGGTTCTCCCTGGCGTCAACAGAAGAGAGCCAACCAGCGCATTTGTATTCGGCTCGGTAAAATGGCCGCTGGTTGGCTTTTATTTCATACAAAGGCGTTGCAAGTCCTTGTTTTTTTTATACACGTCCATGGCACGCAGCCCATGAAGTAAAGGTTGGTGGGGGCCAGGTTTTTTTTTGGGGGGGGGGCTGTCTCCCAAGTCCCTTCCCCGTGACTACGCCACTGGTCCTAACATCTTGTAACCCTATGTTATGTGGACTTCTTTTACGTAGATGTCTATACTATATTTACGTCACACTCTTACGCAAAATAGTTCCAAACCAGCCTTGACATTTTTCAGTTTGGCGACAAGTATAGTTACTAGGTTAGGGCAAGTCAGAGATTAACAATTTTCTTTTCACGATTTGTTTTCTGAAATAAATCGCGGCTTAGGAAATTTGTCATCTTTAGCGACAGTATTGAAAGTTCTTGGAAAAATTGGGATGAAATGGGATGAAATCAGAAGTTTTGTGCAGGTGGTTACATAATATTTATGGACAACAGAAAAAAGTGGTCCAACATGAACACACTTGTGGCGTAAACTTATGCTGGAGTTTGGAGGGGATGGGGGAGATAGACGGAGGGGATGACTTGGAATTTCTATGGAAATTTGAAAAGTGGGGAGGTGGTTCTGACACTATATGACACTATACGGGGGCGATGTTCGTGATATCACAGACGTACATGACCTGTTGTAGTTTTTGTCGACCATTGGTTGGCAAAATCTGCGCCTGTGACGTAGCAAACGAAACGCCAATAACGTCGTGTGCATAAATGCCTCGAATGATGAAATCCCCCGTAGGACTATGGTCTGGTAATATAATTCGGCTAGTTTATAGTCCATATTGAAATTACGTACAGACATTTCTTTATAGCAAGCTGAATATCTGAATAACATTCGATTCATTGAATTACCTAATGCAATTTTCATGAACAAAATGCAATTGTCCATTAGGACTTAAGATATTAATGAAGGTATCTGTCCAAATGTTTCATGCATACCGTAGCCTGACCTGCTCTCCGCGTAATCTTGTGAGTCTAGTACCAGCAGCTTGTTCAAACATGCAACTAAATCCCTTGCGTGATCATCATTTTGTTCGAAATAATCTATTCATATGCTAAGACAGAGGACAAGCCTTTACATCAACTGTGTTTTTGTATCAAACATAACATAAATTTACGTTTTGCTTCTGAAGCCACCCGAGTGTTACTGAGAAAACGTTGTCGATTGCGTGATTTGTTTTGTTTCGGTATTGGGGGTCTATTTTAGTCAATATAGATTGAGATAGATTCTTAAAGTCTAGATTTCGATCACAAAAGACATGCATTACACAATTACGTGTAAAGGAGAAACTTAGGTTAACCGTTCAAAATGAGGATCGCAGGTGTTACCTCCATGTTTCTTTACGTTACGTCGACGTTTACGGCAAAATTTTACCTCTGACTATCGCCAGACTCTTGTGCATCCTGTTTGAATCAGAGCTGCACAGAAAATAGTGCACTTGGGGCCTCCGAAGAAAAAAGGGAGCCCCAGGGCCTGCAAAAATTCCACAGCTGCAGAAGAAAAAACAAACGTTCTAGCGTATTTCTCTATAAAATCCTGATTTTCTGTAAGCTTCAGACTACAACATAGCCCGTCATTGATGCCACTTCGTTGCTCAGGCTAGCGCCAAGAATTTTAGTGAGAGGCCTACCGACAACTGAGTGCCATCAGTGCTCAGAGCCTACTAAAACACTTTATCCAGCCGTAATATGAATCCCCGCCTCTTTTTGTCAGTCTGCAGTACGGCAGGCTGTGGAGAAGTACTCGGACGTTCTCTCCAGCATGAAATGCCACCACATGGAAGACATCATCAAAGAGGTGAGACAAAGAGACATCCCTGCATCATCGGGAACTAAACCTCCACTTCGTATACGCCTCGTGTAGGGGCCGCAACTTGATTTCTTTGACTGACATAACCCAAAGTGAAATCATTTAGAGCCTGTGCTATTAAAAATGCGAAACACCCTTGAGGCAGCGGTTGCAGCTGCAAAACAGTCCTAAGTCAGACCTCTAAAGGTCAAGCCAAAAAACAAGAGCACATGATAAATATTTAAAGGGCCGGCACAAACAGCATATGCTGTATTCTGATGATTTATGATGATCTGCGAGTCCGTGTTAAGTCATTCATGCATGAACTACACGTTGTACTTACCATCATGGACATTTTGCCTTTTACAGTTTTTATCTTGTGTTTTTCACAGTTTGCCAGATATTAGTTATTTTCAAGAGTTGATTGTATGCAAGCAAACACTCTCCAACAGAATGTAAAATCATTAAGAGGCTTGTAGATCTCATTAAGACTTTACACTGCCATTAATATTTTCTTAGCATTGTTTCTAAAAAGAATCGTTCAACACTGACAAAAGAGTAATGTGAATAGCTTCTTCATAATCGTTTTGCACCTGTTTACTCGACTCATTGACATTTCTGCAGTCGAAACCCGAATTCTTCACCCAACTGTTAATTTCTCAGGGATGGAACATTAGCTTCGCTCCAGAACGTTCGGGGAGACATTTTTAAACATGTCTGACCACGTTTTTAAGTACATGTAATGACTACTGAAAAACCAACCTGTCACAGAATACGGGCGATGCACAAGAGTGGGCTTCCAAGAGTTTGCAACGCATTGGCCAATCACAAGGTTGCACTAAACTAAATACGCGCCCATAGAAAACATTGCCAAATCGGACCGAAATAGCGCCGCCTGTTAGCTCTTGTGAAGAGGTTGGCCTCCGTTTTTCACCGGAAATTCAAGATTATGGCCAGAAGATCACTTTTCGTTTCAATTCCAATGGGGGTTAGCCACGAAATTTTCTTAGTCGCCTTTTCCTGAAGATACCCCCAAAATAGTGGTAAAACTATGCGTTCAGCTCTGAATGTAGACGCACGCCTATATAAAAAATGGGTTCGCAATCATTTGGAACTATTGTGAAAGAAATACCTCAAACTGGAAAATGTCTGTCCCAAATTTGGGATTTATAGAAATATTTCTATGATCCCTCCTAATTATGGCGTGTCTTATTGTAAAAACCCCGTGGGATCACAAAATGTTAATGAACTCGCACGCAGAAATACGACAATTTGGTGAAATGCACTCACAACGTGCTAAATCTGTCGACCCTTGTCAAACGCGCATGACCATGGACCATTCTGTACATACGGAAAAGAGGTCTGGTGGCGAAACCCCCCGTCAACCCCTAAAACTGAATTTCACACAAGTTACAATATACTAAGTTTGTCACAGGTCATGCGGCTTTGCCCGCTGCTGAGGAATGAGGTGACCGTGAAAAATAAAGTACGAAGGGCCATCAAGTCGTACATTTGCAACGCTGTCACCCACTACAAGCGAAAGTAAGTGACAAGAGAGTTACAAGTCGGGCCCGATCGGTTATTTTTTATATTTGGATTGTTGTTTTGGTAGATGGGAAGTTCATCAACAAATATTCATTGGCTTAAATTTGCTTTCCGTTTTTCCTTTTCTTTTCGGTCTGTTTCTTCTTTTCTTTCGAATGAAAAAAGGGTTGATTTGAAAGTTAGAATTCATCACAATAAATTCCAACAACTGTTTCCCATCTACAATCCACTCCTACCGCTCTCGAAAATAAAAACTTTTGCAAATACATGTACATGCAGATTGTTAGGTTACAATTAAAAGAATCTGAATCCTTCTACGGCAATCAACGTAGCCTTTTTCTGATTTCAAGTGTCATATGTACATTTCAAAAACAGCATCATGAACCTTAGGCTTAAACTTTGACCAACGATGTAAAAGTTCTCTACCCCTAGTAAAACAGTATTTTCATTGTAATCACTCCGAATTCCCAGGCAGCGTAATAAGGCGCTGTGTTACAGTAGGCGTACTGCCCAGTGCAGTTACCCGTTACCACGCAACCAGGAACCCGAGCGCATCGCCGAGCCGCATTCGCCGGACGTGGAGGACTTTTTCGGGGACTCATCTCGTTCCTACCAAGACGAACTGATCGACTACTCCAAGGTGGGGCATGGTGCCTCTGTTACCATAGGAGGCGCTTCTCCACAGGAAAGCACCGTCGCTTACCCTCAAAGGTAAGTGTATCAGGGGTGTCAAGGCAAGGATAGACCGTTTGCCATGTGCCCTCTTGGTGCATGAAGTTTTGGTTTTTGGAGAGAAATGTAAAGAATGAACTTGAGTAGAATTAAAAACGAGTGACATCCCCCTGACGATGACATTAATGCCTTTGTAGTAAAAGATAGGAAAAGAAAAGCTCTCAGGAGAGTAGACTGTGTGAATGGAAACACAGTGTGTTCACTATAAAGTGCACTCTGGGCAGAAATACTAGACTTTTCTAATTCTGGATATCGTTCCAAGAACATCAGATCCGGCGATAGGCCAGCTAGTAGCCTAGCCGTTGACTGGGTCTGTGGTTTGTTCGTCGTCCAGGGTGAGCAAAACAGACGAAGAACCGTACTGTCGGTGCACGTCAACGTTTGTTATTCAGCACAAACCAAGTCCAACGTGGGCTGGTCCGCGAGAATCGGCGGCTAAAAAATCTCGCCCTGCTGTGTGGCAAACTATACAGTACAAATACCGCCCTCTTGCGATATCCAGTGGGAACTGGGATACCGCAAGAGGGCGGTATACCTCGGTTTCACGCATCACACGCGCGCGAGTGGCATGGTACACGTACACACGCATGCAGGATACGTTTGTATACGTACAACATAAATATTTATTGGCAAAGGCACACGCGGCGGGCTGATCTCAGGTTCACAGGTGAGATACATGTAGGTAACATCCAAATAGCATTAAAAAACATGATAAAGAGCTGTTATGAAGCATGCAAAACATTCTAAAGTGCGTATTTACCCACGCTTGCAACTCCATGCAGGCATGTGCCATCTTCCACCGATCGAAGACGTCTATCCGAGTCGTCGGGGGAAACGATCCCAAAGATAGACGGCGTATCCGTAGCAGAGAGCGACCATCAGTCACAGGAGTTGGTCCCGGCTGCCGTGAGCGAAAATAGCCCCAGTCAGCATCAACTTGTGGAGGTGATGACGGACGTGAGGAATTTACACATGGATGGGGATAACTGCGTCGCATCGTCCGGGGAAAAGGAAGGAAAGGGATTCCGGTTCAGCGATGGGCCGTCCATGGAAGAACTGTACGTGGCTTGAACTTGAGAAAGTCTGAAAATTGGGAAAGCAAACAAAGCATCCAATACAAATTTATCCCAAGATTAAAACTAGGCTCACACATACATGTTTGTATCCATGAGGTTCATCGTCCCACAGGAAGAGTAAGGAGCCCCATGCTACTAGTTCTAGTGGTAATTCGGGTAATCAGATGTGAAAGAAGATTAAACCTTGTATGCATAAGTACTGATTGGCACCTGAATGAAGTCAAATTCCTCTTTATTATAATGCATCATCAACTGTGGCTCCCACATTAGGGTTATAGACTAGAGTCTTTTCTCCACATGACTACTTTATGTGATCTTGTGCAGGAGAGCTATTCAAGCCGACTTTGCCAAGCAGCGAGATTGGGACCAGTTTCACCAACCAAGGAACCTCCTGCTTGCAATGGTAAGGCTCACCCAAGGTGGAAGCTCGAGCAACAGCTGTTTCAATTTTGTCTACCATGTGATGATTTTTTTTTCCCTGGTGACCAGGATATAAACATGTAGTTTTTGCACAGGTTACCAGGGAAAATCAATCAGTAGTCGACATAGTAGTCTTTGCTGGAACTTGTACCAAGATGCACTCAAAACTAATAGGTTCCGCCCACACTGTGCTTGATCCTTCAAAAATCCATTGGGGGTATGAGGTTTTTTTGGGGGGGAGGGTACGGATTAAGTAAATCACCCTGCCATTCTTGCCTGGTCAACGTGTAAAGCCAGATGGCTAGCCTTGGCCAAGGTACATGTAGTTGAAGACAGTATCTGTGATTTACATGTAGGTCCAATTCAGACTGCTATATGTCCAGCTGGTAAAGAATTGTCATACCTTGTCATCAGTGGCCTTGACAAAGGCAAGTGGACTGGTAAAACTCAGGTGTGAGGTGGTTTCAAATCAAATTTAATTTTGTTTTGTTTTGTTTTGTTTTTAAAAATGCCAATGACACAATTAAAAATTACATACAAGACATTGAAAATTAAATAAGTAATTCGAACTAAAATAAAGAAAACTAAAACAGGATTAGACTAATGGTCCCTCTGGTTCCCTTTAAATTGATAAATTAATCTTATTTCGGGAGCCTGAAGAAGGAAAGGCTGCAGGGAAATAGAACACACTGAATATTTTACCTTTGGAAATATTGAAACAAGTATTTCATTTTATTCTCTTAAAAGTCAGGCATTTCGACTGTTTAAGAAAATCAAACAATACGCAGGTTTATACAGTACGTAAACATGTACTCAAAACTTTGACAACTGACACAGATATAGAGGGTTATTGGGTATACTGTGTCATTGTTAGGGGTCTGGCTCGTCTGCCAAGAGTTTAAATTTTGGTTTTTGTCTTTGTCTTCGCAGATCGGAGAAGTTGGGGAAGTTTCAGAGATTTTGTAAGTCTCATCTCAACTTTCAACATTTTCACTTCAAAGGGCAATAAAAGACCCTGAAGCTAAACCTTCAACGGTGGAAACTTCGGCTCACTCAATCTCACAATGATGCCTTAAAAACATCTCCCTGTACCTGAGTAGCTTAAATGTCAAGAAAATAAAGACTGTTCACAACGAAGGTTTTCCGGGAGCACTGAAAATGTGAGAGTAGTTGTGACCATGTAGTTGTAAAGTGTTTTCCAGATGGACTTAATTGGCTTGGTGTGCGTGGGTAGACTATCAAAGAAAGTCTGTGCTTTTGCAGGGTTAAAAACAGTGAAATGAAATCCAAAGAAGGCCAGTCATAAGTATGTCAGCCAAGTAGTTCATCCCAGCCATCACCTGCAGCTGGGGCATTAGTCACGTCCATTTTCCAGAGCCAGTCTTAAAACGCACGTTTACAACAGCCAAGCACATATTAATTCCCTTACTAATGCACCCTGATTTATTACAGAAAAGCCAATCTCGAGAAGGACAATCTGCACAAATGAACTTCACCTTTCGATAATATTTTAGTCACAAAGCAAAATATTTATCTCGCAGGTTTACAAGGCATATCTGGCAGAGAACAGACACTTGATCTCATAATTTGACAAACCATGCACATACACAAGCCACTCATCCACAAGTCAACTCGAAAGCTATTTCAATGAACTACGACAAAGGCATTCCTTTGTTATTGTTTATCTCTTTAGTTCCGCCTTGACTTGTGAAGTGACTTGTGAGTTGACTTGTAGACTGACTTGTGATTGAAGATCTACAACTCTGGAGAACGAGTCTATGGCTTTATGGTCCTAAGACAAGATTGTTGTATCTCACTATTCTCATCTGATCTTCTTGGTCTTTCATTTTCTCCAGTCAGTGGCGAGGAGAGTGCAAGGCGGGCTTAGAGGGTAAGGAAGTTGTGTTAAGGGCTTTGAACACAAGTACACAAGGGCACTGTTGTAGCCCCCTTACCAGAGCTGTATACAGAGAGAGCAGTGCCAGCTTCAGATTTTGGAAACAAAATGGCTGTTCATTATGTGTACAGTAGGGGCTGTTGTACATACGCACTATCCGCATACAAACTGGCGGCCTGTTTGTTTCACACAGATTTGGATCACGATGATCCCAGGGCTGGATCCCGCTACCCATTAGGTTGGTTCAGATGTCAGCGAACCAACGACAGATCACTGATCGCGATCTGGATCCGCGTGAAACAAACAGCCCTGAAGGCGCATAAACCATCCAGTTTGTTTTAAACAATGGTGACACTTATGTTACAACTCTCTCTAAGTAAACACGGCTCTGCCCCTCACAAGGACTGACTGAAGGCATTTCTTTGGCCCAGAGGGCAACGTGGGAAGACAAGCCACAAGTGGCAGACACTGATGATTGGCACTGGCAGAGCAGTGTACAGATGAACGGCTGCACTTGCAGAAGAAGCATGTGAAAGCCATGGCTCTATCTGGATAATGCATCTGATTACAGAAACCTCTAGTTTGTGATTACAGTGGAACGCCGCTATAACGAACACGAGGGGGTCCATGCTAAATGTTTGGTACAGCGGTCGTTCAGTATAGCGAAATTAACTACCGAACGTTTTGCTGCCATGTTGAATAGCGCCCTCTCTTGTCTAACTGAAGTGCACCTCCTTCTGATACTATGATTCTTTGTTTTCATGATGTTTTGCCGCTTGCAGTCACGTTTGAGGTTTCTGGAAATGTATCTGTTAATTATTTTTGTTTTTATTAAATCTTGAGTTACAAAATTGATATTTAGTTTATCCTAAACTACCGCTGTGGCGAATCTCGGTTGATTTGCAACTGCATATGTTCGGTAGGTTTTGTACAAAAAATATTAGGAGCCAAGGACAATGTTTGGTACAGCCGAATGTTCAGTATAGCCGTGCTCGGTACAGCGATGTTCCACTGTATAGCCACGTCCCATATGTGTATGCAACTGCAGCCCAGTCAATCAGATGTGGCCTTTCTAAATACACTGTTAAATTTCAAAATGTAATTGCTAGCAGGTGTCATTGAGACAGGTGTTGATCTTACATTTTGACATGATGTACTGTGATACCTAAAGTTTTCCTGCCTGTAAACCCATGTTTGTAATTTCAAGAGGAAGTGGGGCTCATTCTACAGAGTTTCCTACCACTTCTGCTAACTATATGTACAGCTATCACACCTTGAATTAGCCACGGCTGAGCAGTCTATTACATCTTTTCCAAATTCTATGACTGCGATCCTTAACAAGCAGAGCATAGCCCAACTTCTACAACTCAGCAGCACTTTGTAAAAGACACCGACAATTGGATGTTGGTTGAAGTACAAAAAAGTGCAAATTGGAAGAGAAATAACAGCCAAATAAATACTAATCCACACTGAAGAAGTCAGCATTTTGCGTCAGAAAATAAAAAGATTCTTCACTGTAATCATACTGATTTGTTAGGCTGGTGAACACAAAGGAACCTCTTTTGACCATGGAATTTACACTTGATGTATTTCTCCAGATTGGTCAGAGAAGGACAAGAAACACCTGGCTCAAGAGCTCAGCGACGTCCTGATGTACCTAATCCGACTGGCCGAGAAATGCCATGTGGACCTTCCCAGTGCTGCCATGGAGAAGGTTGGCCTCAATGCCAAGAAATACCCCGCCCAGAAGGTGTACGGCTCCAGCAAGAAGTACACAGAGTATGACTGACTAAGTCACTCAGATGGAGTCTAGTTCCCGATGGCACGTGATGAGGATAAGAGGGTCACAACCAGACATCTGACTATTTTGAATGCAAGCCTCCAGTTTCTGACTAAGGCCGTGTCTGAAACGGGCTTCCAGAGCTACGGCTAGGTCTATTGTCCACACATTTCCAATGGAGCGAAGACCTAGACCTAGCTCTAGACAAGAAATTCGGATGCAGCCATACACTTGAACTAGTGTTGCATGAAAAGAGCTGGTTGATGAGACTACAGTAACAGTGAGACCCTTTCTGTGCACATTTCATGATCTGGTGGCTCTACATGATTTCAAATTGATGTGTCGGCACATGAATTTCCCTGGTAATGACCGTCCGATGGCCTCTGGTGTAAGACTTGGGTGGAGATTTGCAGATGTATTCCGGAGTGAAGAACAAAACAACAATAGTTTAAGTTTATTGATGGCCATTTCATAATGCAGCAATACTGAATTCCACGTGACTAGTGCTGCCTTTTAGGACTAATTGGCTTTGTTGGGCTGCTGAGATGGTTTAAATGTCGCCCCCAGCCGATCGTGCAAATCACAGATAGCACAACTCTCGCAACACCCTAGCAATCAACTCCTGACCGCTGTTGGACCTTTGCTGCCGATGCTGCACGATCTCTACACACCCTCAAGCAGCTCACAGAAGGAATTGACTCGGTCAGCTCTCTCAAACAAGATGATGAGCTAACCCAGGAAAAGGTCAACCACCACTGCTTTGGTGGGTCGGAATGAGATGCCCTTGTTGTGATAAGAAACTGGTCGGCAAAGACATGGGGGGGAAATTAGCAAAGGGAAATTTCTTGTAAAGGAGAAACATCACTACGGTAAACGGCTTCTGGCCATTTCCGGCTGCTTCACAGGCAAGCAGTCTTTCCAGATTCAGAGTAGTCTGTGCTAATTATTAAAGTTCACTGCTGAGAACATCACTATATATCAGTAAGCTTCAGAAGTCAGTCATGCAATGCCGTCAAGGGAACAGAGAAAAATTGAGCATGACCAAAGTACCAAATGGTTAGAATGGGATTCCGGAGTTTCTTGCAAGGTACATTCAACGTAAAATTGGTTCATTCTATTACATGAAACTCAGGGGCATTTGCAAACGGTCTGTTTTTTAAAGAAATTATTATCACATGCTTTCTGTCAGTCGTTAACTATTTGTTGTGGTAGTGTTGGAATTCTTTGTTGGGTTTTTGATTACTAGATTTAAAAGCAGGATAAACGACAAACCAGAGAAAACACATGTACTGTACATGTATGACAGGAAAAGAAAGTTAACTCTTATAGACTTTGACCTTGGGCCCAGGGATTTGTCATAAATTCACAATTTTTGTGCATTTGCAAAAGTCAGGGTTTATGAATACAATCCAGTATTCGAGGTATATCATCATGTATCTAAATCTGGTGGAGGCAATTTGGTTGATTTCAGGGGAATTTTTGGAGTAGTGTACTTTCTGCATTTCATTTTGCAGTAATAGTTTTGAACTGATGTTAGATACATATCACATAGGAATCAGTAAATTTACTGTTCTTGGGGGGGATGTGTGACAAGCAATTTCAGTTCCAAGCAGATGTTGCGAATGATCTTATGTATGCTTATGACGCTGCATGCCTAGTTGTTGTACAACACTAATAAAAATTGGAAATGTTTTTTTGACTCAATGAAGTTATTGATGGCATTCTGTGGATGGCAGGACACATAAATCATAATTTTAAGTTGCTGGACGGCCTGTAGGACCTTGGATAATAGCGTCCAAACAGAATGGGCTATTTAATTAATTCAAAAATATGTGCGGAAATGATGAAGGTTTGACATGACAGGTCTCCACATAACATTACCAGTTCATTTGTGTGCAAAAAACTTGCAGGAAGACGGAATCAGGTAAGTCGGAATTGTTGTTGGATTACTCCAATGTGGCACTGCCCCCAAATATGGCATACTTTGGTTTTTTTTGCCTCTGGTACATTCTACCATGCTGGAGCATTATTTGTTCCTCAGGTTGAACATTGAGCAAAATTTCATGAAACGTTTAACATTTCCATTTACAAGTTTTTGCACCCCTAGGAAGTTCTGATGAAATTCTGTTTTGACCTGATTTTCCAATGTCTTTTAAGGGCACCATGAATTCATTTAAAATGCTCCCCAGAATGAGAAAATAACGTATGTGAGTGGAGGTAATAAAGATTTATAAGAAATTCATAACTTTCAAGAAATTCTTTAAGAATGTTAAAAATGTTATTGAGGGAGTTTTGAGGTTTGTTCATGTGTGTGCCACATTAGTGAATACACTGCTAAATTTGTGACCAAGTACCGACCTTTCTCCCCTGAGCCTCGGCTACAATGATGTCAGTTGGGCCCTCTTCCACAGCTTCCCTTCTCCTTCCTGGAAATGACGGCGGAGTCTCTGCTTTTCGGTATCTTGGACTTCCTGAAAATAAAGCAAAATTGAAAGATTCTAAATGCACAGGCATGCATTTGAAAGAGTCTTCAAGGTCAGGATTTACTGGAGATGGAAGGTTGAAATATAACTTCATGTACATGCTTTCTGCCTTTCCATCTTTGGTTGCAGAGTACGCTACACACTACATTGTAATTGTTTAAGCATCAGAATAATTATCACCATCGCTGCAATTGACCTGCGTCACCTATGTCAATCATCACCATAGTATTTTATGGAGCCAGGCAAACTTTCAGAAGCATGTCTGTTCCTTGTACACTTTGCACTGTGATCATTGTTACCATGTACCCATTCATAAATTCATATGGCAATATAAAGCCACGATCAGCTCATTCCAAAGTGAAACAAGAATTACTATTACCTGCCAAAAGTGACCTTCAAGTACAGTTGGATTTTTTCTTTTACTCCAAGGGTGGATGGCTGCCCGAAGGCAAGCTTCTTTTTTTGGTTTACCTCCCTTGGATGTCTGTGGACAATTGTACTCTTACACCACTTTTTACCAGATTACCCCCCCCCCAAAAAAAACAAGAATATTATTATTCCCCGCAAATTTTGGCACAATTATTTTCTGCACATAGATACTGCTTCATTCTGGAGTTGACTGCTATTGTGACTCCTGAGGGTTAAAGAATCCTTAGTTCAAAGGTCATTACTATTCCGACCTTAAACAAATAAAAATCTGACAATATTATAAGAAATGCTGACCTTAAAAATATTATAGTCTATTGCACATCTTACATTAATTACAATGCTTGCAGCAGCAAAACCAAGTGAACTGATGATGACCAGCAGACCGACAATCTTGGTTATAAATGTTGGAATGCTTTCAACAAAAGTACCCGTGCTCAATGCTGAAAGATCAAAATGATGTTCCTAATAAAGATACAGTAACCTACCATTGCATACAGCTGCATCTTGGGCTGCTTTACACTTGTCACAGTATCAGCTGAGTACTCTGAATAATTCAAATAATTCAAATAATTACGAACTTCTACCCTCTCCTCTTTTCCCTTTCTGTTTTCCTTTCTGTTTTTCTTTCCTGTTCTAACCCCTCCCCATCCACCCCACTTGCAACACCCATGGTTCTTGAAACAAGTACACAGTAGTGTGTCTTATTGTTCTCCTGAGGTGATTAAACTCCAACAGACAGACAAAAGTAGCCATGCATAATATGCATCACTCTACCCCAACCCAACAAAATAGGTCTACAGTTACCTAAATTACTTTTGAGTTACTGGCCTTTGGACAAACCTTGCCCCAAGGAAATTATTAGGCATTGTTGGTTTCTTTCCTGATCATTGCAAATGCAGAGGTACATCAAAACGAGGAACTGAGTAAGCCCCAGATGCTCATAGAATATTAGCAAGTGAAAGAGTCCTTATGCCCCGATGGGTTTGCTTCCTTGCATTCTGATTGTTGTACATTATTATTATCACACCTGCATCACACTGATCATATCAAATACAAAAGTGAACCTAAAACCAATCTGATGCTTTTCCTTAAAGGGAAACTTCACACTTTTTATCTCCTTTGTAAGTGCCAAGCCAGAAACCAGCAGTGTTATTTGTCAGTGCAAACAATATGTGAAACTGAGAATTGCCACATCTACTCAAGATCGAATGTCAGGGCTCTTCAGCAGAAGAGGGAAGTTACTGTGTAAGCATTGAAACAATTCTGAACCAATCCCAAGCAATTCACGTGGGATGCCATTTTGGCCAGTGACTTGTTATTATGGTGCCAACCTTTCATATGTGGTTGATGAGGGGGCCTTGCAACTTAATGCATGGCTCCTATCTAAGAAGTTTCTTTAGGTTTTATGAAGGAGTTGGGGAAGGTGCAACACAGTAGTAATGCGTTCACATCTTTGAAAATAAAATATGATCTTGAATCAAGGACTGGCTGATAAAACTTTATCTGGAAGAGGCTCGTGCTCACTTAACCAAATGATTAAGCCCCGCCCCCTGGATCTTGTGACCAATCACAGGAATAATTACATGACAGCACGCCTCCCAAAAATCTGGATGCATTTACATGTGCATCATGCACATCATCTGGGAAATGAAGTATGGCAGTAGAGTGATACATGTGTTGCTACCCATGCATGCAATGGGTGGGGCTGAATGGATGCAACTAATACACAACACAGTTTTCCAAATACTGTCCGTCAAGAAGAGACATCTGGCATTAATAAAAATGAAACCCAAGGTTTGCCTACCTTTACCATCTACACTCTTCCCGATGGTGAACTCACACATTTGTTGGGGTAACTCTCCAGTCCTGGCTTTAAGAGTAGTGAATGGAAAGAAATTGAAAGCATATGCCTTAGACAACAAAACACAAAATAAACCACCAGTACTGGAAATGTAAATAAAATCATAGATTCCAAGATGCATTTAATTTGAGAGACTAATAACCTTAAACGTTAATGAACCGAAGCATTGAAGAAAGTACGCATGATCTCCTTAAAATCTCCACCTCCAAGCAATGTACGGGCAACACACAGGACAGAGATAATTATGTAAGACTTTGAGTGATCCACAAAATGACTTATACTACGGCTAACTTGAGATTCCAAAGAGTAACACACACTGCAATATTTTCCGATCAATTTTAACAAAACTTTCACCAACTAGTAAATTTTCCCATCATTTCTCCACTAAAATGCAAACAAAAAAAGAGGTTCAAGGTATTTCCTTTGGTAAAGAGCCTAAGATGATTTTCTACAGGATAATGGTTCAAATTCAGCCAAGTCCTCTATGTTTCCCTTGATGTAAATAATGTAAATCAAAGTCCGAGTACCTCTCTTCTACTGGTAAGTTGTCTTCCTCTTACCTTTTCTTGGCCTCTTTGCTGTTCTCCTCGGATTCCTCTTGGCTCCTCTCCTGAGCAATGCTCTCAGTGTACAGATCCTTGACAGGCTTGGCATGGAAAGGTCATGAAGACAGTGCATGAGCTCTTCAGTCTAATGAGAAGCAACAAGTGCAAGAGAAGAGCTGTTATCTTTCCATGGTTTCCTGTCTGTAAAACTCCACTACAATATTATAATAAATTATAAAAATCACAAAGTTTATGAAAATTATGTAGAAAGACTCCAGTCTACATTATCTGAATAGCAAAGAGTGTGTTTGGCCTTTTGTTTGTCATGGTAGACACAGTGTAACAAATACAAAACACTATTTGTCTAAAAATCTGTCTTCAACGTCAATATTTAAATGAGTATCTCAGTGACTACCTTAGCCTTCAGTGTTTGTCTTTTCCATTTTTATCTGTTAAGAACTTTCAAAGCCTCCTTATCTTCTTGGCAGCTGGGGGAAAGATATGATGATGGCATTGTACCTTTAAGACAGATTAGAACTTTTGTATGGTGAGGGTTATACAGAGAGATGGTTTGCGGATACACAATGTCTAATCGATCTCTCTACAAGAGTGGTGGTTCTGAGAAAAATTGGTGAGTGAACTCAACGTTTCAACCAGCATGTTCTGGTCATTGCCATCCAGTCTTATATTCAGTCCAGTATCTCCCCCGAGGATAACCCCAGCATTCTGGTCAAAATGTTAGTTTCACACTCAACAGCATCCTCAGAACAACCACTCTGATAGTGATACCATATGGTGTGACTGCAAACTATCTCTCGGCATTGCATTTATTTAAGTCAATTGTGAGGCACTACACATGGATTTTTTCCCCTCCTCAAACAAGAACAAAAGAATGAGAAACATGTCAGTTATCCTCTTATTCCACACAGTTCTGGATATTGAATGTTCTATGCACAAATCCTGAATTCTCAGTTTAAATTCTGATCTCCCAAAACACTCTCTTCACTGTAGTTGTGTGACATTCAAATTCTATACATTTTTTGTACTATGTGCTGCTAAAATAATGCAATTCAAAAATCCATTCAAAAAACACATGAACATGTTACATATGTACCCATATATAGTGCATGAGAAAGTACACACTTCATGAGGGAAACCAAAAATTGTAAGTTAAAACAAATAGATCCATGCCAATGTCAACTGCGAAACTCTCTTGTATGCTTTGCTTGTGGTGTTGTCAAAACAAGTGAGACCCAATTTAGCCTTTGAAATTAATGGGAACAAAATGTTAAGAAGCTTTTTCTTTCATTTTCTCATTTCTCGTCAAGGTCTTAAATTCAGTACATGAAGTAATTTTGAACCGGGACACACTACTTATAACAGTATCTTAAAAATGTTGGCATCAGAGATCAATGCTGCATGTAAATGAACTACATGTATGGGTGATGACTACTGAGACAGCCACTCAATTGGTGTGTTAGAGTAGCTCGAGAATTCCACAAGGATTGGACAAAGAAGCTGCCAACTGAAATATTTCGCTTTAGTAGTCAAGTACAGGTACTTGTACTGTTGTAGGCCTATCCACCAGCCTCCTCTTGTAGGCCTATCCACCAGCCAACCTCTTGTAGGCCTATCCACGAGCCTCCGCTTGTAGGCCTATCCACCAGCCTCCGCTTGTAGGCCTATCCACCAGCCTCCGCTTGTAGGCCTATCCACCAGCCTCCGCTTGTAGGCCTATCCACCAGCCTCCGCTTGTAGGCCTATATCCACCAGCCTCCTCTTGTAGGCCTATCCACCAGCCGACCTCTTGTAGGTTTATCCACCAGCCTCCTCTTGTTGGGAACAGAAACCAATGTTTCATGTCTATGAACTATGGCTGATAGCAGCCAACATAGCTTCTCAGTTGGGTGGATAATTGATGTTTTCGAACATCTTGCAAGCTTAGAAAGGATCATTCAAAGAAGCCAACAAATACTACAGTTAAGTACTCAGATCATCGCACCAATCGGCCTTCTCTTGAACATAATCTTTCTCTTCACAGTCATCCGAGTGAAGTCCATGCATACAATCATCAACATCTACTTATCCAATCTGGCGGTGGCTGACTCACTTTTCCTCCTACATACATTTCTATATTCATTGTATAAAACCATGGAGTATTATACCCTTTGGCAACAAACAATTTTAAGTGTCAGGTACATGCTCCAAACTGCTTGTAATTTCTTTGTGGTTACCATAGCAGCAGAGAGATTCTATGCAGTGCGCCATCCACTGACTTTCAGAGAGAAAGCTTCTAAATCTCGAGCAGCAAAGATATCAGCAGGACTCTGGCTGCCAATAATTGTCATTGGGGTGTCTGTGACATATTTGCCAGACACTGTCTTCTATGACATGAACTTTTGGCTTAATTTCATCTGCACCTTTGTCTGTTTAGTTGCAACTATTGCTTTGTACATCAACATAGTGGTGACAATGTGTAGCCATGAAACCCAAACAGCCCAACCACCAAATCGTCCCAAGCAAGCAGGCATGGTCATTCGCATGATTATCATCAACACAGCTATCTTCTTCATATTGAACTCACTGGATACAGGAACAGCAATCATTGCAATGGTAAGAGACAGCTATAAAATCCCCTACCAGTTGGTTGGAATGCTAAAACTTGAGGAAAAAGTGCACATCTTTGCTGTTTGTGCAGATGTCTTGCGACTTATCAACTGCTCCATTGATCCACTAGTCTACAGTGCCACTAACTCTGACTATCGTACAGCTGTAGTCCAGGCTTTCTCATTGCTCAAACTGGGCTGTCCTTGCTACCCAAGACAGAATCCCAGCCAACCATCACAGCCATGGGAACAGGTTGAGCTTCATGAGATTCCGCAGCCACAAAATGACCAACAGAACCATGATACAGGGCGAAACAGCAGTAAGTTGTCAACAACAATGTTCTACAGCAGCAAGGCATCCATGCATAGTCAGCAGCAAGTTCTAGAACATGCACACACAGAACCAGCAGGGATCCCAGTACTTGCAAGTTCTCCTCAGGAACAATGCTATAGCTTGACTGAATGCAAGCCATCCATGCAAGGGGAGTGGTGTGTGCATCCTGAACCAGCAGACAGCCAGCAGTCACTTGCAAGTACTCAGG